GTTAAGATGCTGAGCTGCAGACCAGAAGGTCGGTAGTTCGGCAGTTTGAGACCCTAGTGCCACGTGACAGAGTGAGCTCCCGTCTCTGGCCCCAGCTCCTGCCAACCTAGCAGTTTGAAAGCAAGAAATTGCAAGTAGATAAATAGGTACCACTTCGGTGGGAAGGTAACAGCGTTCTGTGTGCCTCGGCATTTAGTCATGCCAGCCACATGGCCACAGAGAAGTCTTCAGACAGTGCTGGCTCTTTGGCTTGGAAATGGAGATGAGCACTGCCCGCTAGAATCAAATTCGACTGGCTGTTGAGAAAGGGAAACCTTTACCTTTACTGATGAGACAGCCTTTGTTGCTGCTCCCTCTGTTGGTCAGGATAACCCTCTATTCTTAAGGTCCAAATTGGATGTTACATACATGATTCAGGATTACGGATGTTGGACCCCCCAGTGGAGGCAGGGGTCCCCCACTTTCAGGCCCCAGCTCTCCCAAACAGGGAAGAACACTGGAAATTAATGCAATGTGCCTATGTGACCTGGAAGTGACGTAGGCACGTTGGGGATATCAGGGGGGTGATGCTCTGGTTTTGGGGCAAAACTCTATGGTAGAAACTAATTTTACCATAGAGTTTTGCCTAAAAGCCGGAGCATTGCTCCCTGATGTCGCTGACTTCTGGGTCATGTAGACATGTCACATTAATTTCTGGCATTCCTCCTCACTCCTGGGAAGCGCAGCCCCTGACAGCTCCAAGAGACCTGGCAACCCTAGTCAGAATATAGGTGCCCATCCTGACTGGCTGTCACACCGAAGAACTGTACAGCTTATCTTTTTTTTTTTTTGGTAAACAAATTTTATTTTCTCAGGAATACAACATATAAAACATTTCATTCTATCAATTATCTACCCCATTCCCAGTTCCTCCCCTCCCTCCAATGGCTTCCCACAATGCTTCCACCCCTGCTCCAAATTACTTCATATCATCAACAATATCAGTTTTTCATCATTACAATCTAAAGATAACATCGTTTGACTTAATATTGGTCTAAACATATTAAGTTTTGTTTCACATCCCCTGTGTGGGCAGGACAGTCCAGTTGCAAACAATTGCTACATCAGAGTGATGATAGTACAAGATCCAATGATGTGTGGATACAGCCGTTCAAGGGCCCCGGCCACACGTGCCGGAAAACGTGGGGGGAGGCATGGCTATTTGCGCCGTCACATTTTGATCCGCCAGTATGCAATGAGACGCGACGGTGGCACACCGGGGTTTCATCCTTTGGCGCACACTGCAAAGAGGACGACCGGGGGGAATAGGCGCGCGCTGGCGCGATCACACCGAACGAGTCCGTCTGCAGCCCATGACAAAACATTTGCTAGTAGATCTTTGCAGGTACTTTTTAACTGCACATCTTCGGCGGAACGCCACGGGTTGGCCACGGGTGCGCTACGTTACCCAGAGGTTGCAGTCAATGTTCCCTCTAAGCTGTGGAGTCTTGTGAGCAAAAATTCTACTTTGTGAGCTACTGGCATTAAAGTCGTGAGCAGGCAATTTGTCTACTGCATAAATTACTTCGCTCTGGAACCATCATTCCTGAGCTAAGACAAAAATGTGTGAGCCAGAGGCTAAAAAACTGTGAGCTAGCTCACACTAACTCAGCTTAGAGAGAACACTGGTTGCAGTGTGATCACGCCCCGAAATTCTGCCCAGCATTCGTGCCATTCGCGCGGCAAATTCTCTGTGTGACCTGGGCCAAGAAACCATAAGGAAGACAATGAGACATCTTACATTCTTTGCATAAGTCCCTTGGATCCAGTGACCAAGTCTTTATGTGGCAGCTAGTTAGTGCTGTCAAGTTAGTTCAGAGACTCCTGTTCCCTTTCCTCTCCCACCCATGCAAGATCATTCCATAGAAGACTGTAATTGTTCCAGGTCAACAAAAACTAGGGAGAAGCCCAGCCCCTATCTAAAAGCTACCCAATGTGGCATATAAAGCTGCAGCAACACACAGCTCTGATGCTGCCCCATTGTTGCTCTACAGGAGTCAGTCACACCTGGACTGTCTTGTCCGCATAGGAGAGTCTGCTGTGGATGACAGCTATGATGCAACAACAGTGAAGTATCCAACCATGTGTCCAGGGGTCCAAACACACCTTACCTGGTACCCACCAGGTGTTTTTAGAAAGTGGGTGGGGCCGGGTGGGGCTCTTGCTCCAAGAGACCTGGCAACCCTAGTCAGAATATAGGTGCCCATCCTGACTGGCTGTCACACCGAAGAACTGTACAGCTTATCTTAAAATTGCTTCATTGGCCTGTTCGGCTCCAGAGTGCTGTGGGTTGGGGTGGGGGATTCCTGTTTCCTTTCCATGCTGTTTTCGCCACTGGAAATGACTGTGGGGAGACTGTTTTCCCCTTTCTTTGGACATGTGGAGTCAGGTAAAATGACAAATATTCCCCCATGGCAGTTTCTGCTGGCAAAAACAGTGCAGGAGGGAAGTCAGGAAATTCCATCCCCCCCCCTTGCAGTATCTTGAAGCCCAACAGAGTAATTTTAAGGTAAGATGTACATTGTGATAAGGAGTCAGGGCAAGGACTTGTGTCTCAACATCTCACATGTAATGTCTAGTTTGGTCCTAACAGATGGCTACACACCTGCACCTAGTTTGCCCCTTTTTGGTGTTACAGACAAATGTTTCTGTTCATGTTATTGTTTGAGATAGAGGGAGCTGCATGGAACCTCAAAACAAGGTGAAAGAGACAGGAAGCTGGCAGGTATCACCAAAGATGGCACCTGTTCTGGAAAAAGCAAAGGGGAATCAATTCCTGTACAATTGTTCTTATGGAAAAGAAAACTAGCCAATCTGAGAGGAGTAGGCAAATGATACATGTTGTTACTGCTGGGTTTTCTAGACTAAAAATACACATTGGATAACCTGTACTAAGGAAATTGTGTGTGAACACACACACATACACCTCAGGTGACAGGGTGCTGAAAAGTGGGCTTTGCAGCTGTGAGGGAAACAAAGGCACATAAACACATTCACACACAGGCAAATATAGAACAGAGTTTCTCTGTCCTTCGCAATGTAGATCTACTTAAGGGCCAAAATACAAGTGGCAGAGGCTATGGGTTCATCCTGTGGCTACTGCTGCCATTTTAAAAGCATTTGTAGCTCTTCCACAAGGCCTTGATCAAGAACAGAGGGTCCCAGGAGGTCTTGTCTGTCCCATGCCTTTTCAAGTGTAGAAACAGCTGGGGGGGGGGCCTGTTTCTACACATTACATTAACCAAGCTTTAAAAATATGATCAATATGCATCTTATCTGTCACAGGGGGGACTAAAAGTGTCCAGAAAAGAAATGGAGAGAGGGGAATGAATTGAAACTGCATGACACAAACTTCTGCATTTATTTATATAGCAAAATTTTATGCTGCCTCTTCAGGGAGCCTGCCTTGAGGTGACTTACAAAAATAAAATATAACAAAAATGAAACACTGAAAGTTATTAAAAACCAGCATTAAAAACCCAGACATGGCATAAAAACAGAAGATCATTGAGCAGCTTAAAAACAATTTTCAGACTGAAATCACACCAAAATGGTGTTTAATGACCCCTGGGTGAACAGAAATATTTTGGCTTGGTGCCTAAAAGAGAGCAGTGTAGAAGAAGAAGAAGAGATTGGATTTATACCCCGCCCTTCACTTGGAGTCTCAGAGCGGCTTACAAACTCCTTTCCCTTCCCCTCCCCACAACAGACACCCTGTGAGGTGGGTGGGGCTTAGAGAACTCTGACACAAACTGCTCTTTTTCAAGGACAGCTGTGCCAGAGCTTGTGACTGACCCAAGGTCACATCAGCAGGTGCAAGTGGAAGAGTGGGGAATCAAATCCGGTTCTCCCATATTAGAATCCACACACTTAACCACTACACCAAACTGTCACTGTAGGTGACAGACAAACCTCAAGGGGGGCTGATTCGGCACCCATCTATTTCCTCGCAGTTTTTCCACAGCCACGTGTGGAGGTTAATCTCCTGCTACGCTGCATGCTGCTTTCACTTTCTTTGTTCATCGGGCTTTATTTATTTTATTTATTTACCTTCGACTTATATACCGCCCTGACCCCGAAGGGTCTCTGGGCAGTTTACATAGTTGTTCTAACCAACCAATTAACCTGACTAGGGCCACATTGTCTACAGGGTGGTGACTGCCTACCAGCACCCCGGGCTAGTTATCATCCGGCTTCCTTCCGCGGCTTCAGATATTGGCGTCCTCGTGCCCTTTCTGGAGCCGATCTTCCCCGAGCAGCTTCTTCAGGCAGGTCTCGTCTTGGCGCGTGGCTCTGTGTTGGCTGCAGTTCTGGCTACTGTCCACAGGTGGCTTCTGCACAGATTTATGGCCGTTCAGGGGTGACTTCACAATCAGTACAGCATTGCCCTGGGGTATCTGAATGTGGTTTTGAGCAGCACCTTTTCCTTCCTCCACTTCTGATTTGAAGGGAACAATAAGCAGACAACTTGACACGGCTTCATTGATCTCCGTCAGTTCCCCCACCCCTATTTCCCCCTCTGTATTTATCACCTCACCATGAATTACTTGGCTCAGGCAGATAATGACTGCTGAGGCAAGTACTGGCACAGGAAAATCTGCATACCAATGCAGGAGTGAGTGTTGAAAACAAAATAGATGGCAAGCCGGCACTAGCCAATGCAACCAAAATCTGAGGCAATGCAATGAAAACAGATATTTCAAGGCAAGGGGGAACCAGGTCAAGTGCTGAGAAAACGTGGAGCGAATGCCAGATGCAGAATGGATTGGGAAGGGCATGCTATAAGGGAAATGCCACTACTGAAAAAGCCCCGTCCCTGGTCGCCACTTGCCTCACCTCTGAAGGCAGGGACACCAGGACCCCATTACTGTCAGTTGCCTGCCCTAGGACCTTGCCTCACAGAATTGTCCAGCAATGGTCTCAAACATCACACCGGACTTTTTCAGCTATTTGTTTCCTGCTTACAGTCCTATCTGTTGTAGAACTTTGCTGACCTTCCCAACAAGTGTGACGTTGTATCTCCAGAGCGTTGTATCATTTATAAGGGATTCTCTAGGAAGCTTTGCCTGTAGGGGAACCCGACAATGATAAACAAGGGCAACATCAATTGGAACATTAACTTTGTTCCCATAGGCCTGGAGAACAGAGTGGACAGATGTCTGGGCCACTTTCTTTGGATCAACGATCATTTTCCAAGGATTGACTATGTGCTTCCTATCAGGTTCCCGGAGGACGTGCTGCAGAATGTTAACTCCAGGTATTGTTCTCCAAGAGGAAATGTTGAATGGATCATTAAGAGTGAATACAGTTTTAGGGAAAATATGGTTCTCAAAGATGAAAACAGCAGCTTTTGGATGTTGCACCTGAAGGTTCTGCATCATGGTTTTCCAATTTGGATATTTTACTGGCAGAATAATTTCATCCATGTCATTCAGCAGCAGATATCTGCTCCTGTACATGTTGCGATAAATACAGTCATTTAAGGCTGTGATTTGTCCATAGTAGCCAATGTCCTTGGGATCTACTGAGTAACGCCAACGAGAAGAGACCCTGAGGTATGAATCAATGGGCCAGGGGATTATCTCGACAATCCCTTCTGCAATATAGTAATCCAGCACTTTCTGCATCAGTGGGCTGCAGCTGTTCTTGTAGATCACCACTCTGCCCACCCCGAGGATTTTATACATCTCCATGCTCTGCACAAACTGCAGGACATTGTTGTACTCTCCAAACATAGTGGAGATGCAGACTGTGAATTCCACAAGGGAATCTTCAGGATCACGGTTTCTTATTTCAAAAAGTGGTAGCTGGTCAATATCTCCTTTAGGAGACCAATGTATTGACACGAAACGTGGTTCCCAGTCTTTCGGTTCCAGACATTTCAAGTCCGTGGCACCGTAAGGGAAGTCAAATCTATCAGAATGGACATATATTTCAGCCTTGGAGATGTATATTTCTCCACTGGATGAGTTGCAGAACCAGCAGTAAAGTTCCTTGACATCTTTGTGGTGGACTATTGAAATCACTCGTGTCATTTTGTTCTTTCTGTTGTCAAAGTATGGAGCGATTATGAAGGTTCGGTTATCTTTCAAGGGTGTAATGGTGTTAATGGTAGGAATCCCTCGGCAAAGGCTGTTCTTCACCGAAGGAAGATTTGTTTTCTTGTCAAAGAAGAGCATTATCATAATGGTGGCAAGGGAAATGGTGATCACCAGGTATAATCTTTTCCTGTAGTGAATCATTTCATACGCCCAGGGAAGCAACTGTGTAGCAGGAGCTCTGAAATAGATGAAAAAAACACAACACAGAGTCAGAAAGTGAATAATGGACTTATACTTCACTGTGCTTGATGGCTCTGCATGTACTGTGAATGCAGGTTTAGGTCAACAACTGGGAGAACACAGATTTAAACAAAAATCCTTATGAGGGAAGAAGGAATGTTTTATGTTCCAAAGAAAGGGGATGTAGGCAAGCAATACATATTTTATTGGAGTGTGAAATCTGGTCTGATCTGAGAGAAAGATATTTGTCCCCCCTCTTAACAGTTCATGGGAAGTTACCATCTCAAAAAAATTATCCAGATTTTCATTGTAAATGAGGATCGGAAAACTACGGTAGCAATCACTAAATATTTAGCTGTGGTGATTGCCTGTAAGGGCGTTGGATCTCAACCTGTTCAAGACTTTTGAGTCAAAAGAGCAGTAAAATAAGAAAAATACCGATATGGGATACTAAACTGGAAAAGACCATGTCTCCTCCCAGTAGATAAAGTGATATAAGACCAGTATACTTTTAGGCCTACTACGGTCTCCTCTTGGGATTGCCAACATTTTAAAAATACATTTTATTGTTTCAAATTCCATTACAAAACTGATAAAAATAACCTGAAGCAATCACATCCAATCAAAAAAATACATAAAGTACAACTTTATCCTGAAATCTGCTATTCCAGATTATGAACAATGACCATTTCTCTACAGATCTATTTGTCACATTACCAGCCACATTCTTGGACCTTATCTAATAAACTAGATTTGTCATTAAAATGATTTTCCACATTCTTTCATTCATTCTCTAGCAGGTGGTGGCATTGACTATCCCGTATACGCAGCCTAGCTGCTCTAAACAGATTAAGAATCTTATCAAGATTGACCTTTGCTACCAGGCCTTTCAAGCAGTGTGACAGAATTGTGTTGAATCCTCAAGGTAGTAAACAACCCATAATCTCTTTAAGAAGCTGTACAACAATAGACCAAAATTTTCCCATCGAAGCACCTCCTCCATGAAGCATAAGATCGTCTTTATTGGTTTAACACACCTCCAACACTAATCTAGCATGTTATAGTAATTTTTGATAACTCATAACAAGGCTTCAGCAGTATGTGGATAGAGAACTGCCAGAAGTACAAGCTGGGTTTCAAAAAGGTAGAGGAAATAGAGATCAAATTGCCAACATTCGCTGGATTATGGAGAAAGCAAGGGAGTACCAGAAAAACATCTACTTCTGCTTCATTGACTATGCTAAAGCCTTTGATTGTGTGGATTGCAACAAACTATGGCAAATCCTTAAAGAGATGGGAGTACCAGACCACCTCATGAGTCTCTTGAGAAACCTGTACAAGGGTCAAGAAGCAGCAGTTAGAACTGGATATGGAACAACTAATTGGTTTCGCATAGGAAAAGGAGTACAATAAGGATGTTTATTGTCACCTTGCTTATTTAATTTATATGCAGAGTACATCATGTGAAATGCCGGCCTGGATGAATCACAAACTGGAATTAAGATTGCTGTTAAAAACAACCTCAGATATGCAGACAATACCACTCTAATGGCAGAAAGTGAAGAGGACCTAAAGAGCCTCTTGCTAAGGGTCAAAGAGGAGAGCACAAAAGTTGGCTTGAAACTCAACATAAAAAAAAACCCCTAAGATCATGGCGTCCGGCCCTGTCACTCCTTGGGAAATAGAAGGGGAAGTTGTGGAAGCAGTGACAGACTTCACGTTCCTGAGATCCAAGATCACTGCAAACGGTGACTGCAGCCATGAAATTAAAAAACACCTGCTCCTTGGGAGGAAAGCGATGGCAAACCTAAACAGCATGATAAAAAGCAGAGACAGTACCCTGCCAACAAAAGTCCGTATGGTCAAAGCAATGGTATTCCCAGTAGTAATGTATGGCTGAGAGAGTTGAACTATAAGGAAGGTCAACTGCCGAAGAATAGATTCTTTTGAATTATGATGCTGGAGAAGACTCTTGAGAGTCCCTTGGACTGCAAGGAGATCAAATCAGTCAATCCTAAAAGAAATCAACCCTGACTGTTCCCTGGAAGGCCAGATACTGAATCTGAAGCTCAAATACGTTGGGCACCAAATGAGATGGGAGCACTCACTGGAGAAAACCCTGATGCTGGGAAAGATTGAAGGTCAAAGAAGAAGGGGACAGCAAAGGATGAGATGGTTAGACAGTGTTATTGATGCAATGAACATGAAATTAAGTAAACTCCGGAGCACAATGGAAGACAGGAGGGCCTGGCGTGATGTGGTCTATGGGGTAGTGAAGAGTCAGACTTGACTGTGTGACTGAAAAACAACAACATAAACAACAACAATGTAAAGTACCACTGATACTGGGTTGTCATGAAATTTCTTTCAGATTGATAGAGATCAGTCTCAGTAATGCTTTACTCCAAATTGACTCCCATTGACCTTTATTTTTCTTTTCTTTTCTTCCGCCCCCTCTAGATTTGTATCCCGCCCTCCCTGAAGGCTCAGGGCGGCTAACAAGGGCATAAATGCCTAATAAAAACAATAAGAACAGTATAAAATACAATACAATATATAACATAATCCAATTAATAAAATATCGGTGCTCCACTACTTACTCCAATTCATAAAATCAAGATGGTGTTCTGCAGCTGTTATAACAATACAACGGCCATATGTCCCCACAACCCTATCATCCGCCAGGTACGTCCCGCACCCCCGATGGTACCTGCGCCAGCGGTGGTAAGGGTGCGGTGATGGAAAAAGCGTTGGTGGAATAATGGTGGCGGCGGCTCCTACTCGAAAGCCTGGCGGAAGAGCTCCGTTTTACAGGCCCTGCGGAACTGCCCAAGATGGCTTGATCTTGCAAGATGGCTTGATCAATATCTTTTCCTCATTTACTTATAAAATTATCAGGGGAGTTACTCAGGCCCAATAACACTGAACATATACATGCCAACATTTTTACTGGTTCCTGCTTTCATATCTTTAACAGCACAGACATTACTGGGTGATAACATTCACGTTCATGCTACGAAAAGCTTTGCCTGATCATTTCTACAGATCAAGCCATGACTGAAAGCACAGTTAACTTTGTTTTTCTGGTCAGTTGGCAAGTTTGCACAGGGCAAGATGCCAGTATCACAAACACTTTGAAAATCAAACCACCCGGGAAATTCCACTCGATGCCTCATAGGTTATAACTAACTAACTACCAATTAGCATAGACAAACGAACTTTAACTTGATAGTTCAAGTTAAAAATTTGATTGTTTCCCCTTCTGGATGTGGTCTTTTTAGATTACAGCAGCTTCCAGCTTCTTCACTGACACGAGCCTTTCTATCATATTTCACTAAAACCAGCAGGGCTGCTGTGAGCCACCCACAAGGCCCTCAGACAAGGATTCCACCTGCCCCTCCCCCAATGCCCCTGATCCAAACCGAATATTGTAACAAAACAAATAGCTTTTGTTTGCTGGTAACACAAATCCATAGCAATAAAAGAACTGGCCGGCCTGCCCATTTATGGCAAGTAGGCTTACCAAACGCCGGCGGGGGAAATCTATTTCCTGGCAGGATGCGTGCCGCGGGGGACGGCTGTGCGCGCTGCACCCGCCGTCGCCAGGATGTGACGCTCCGCGTTACCCTGGCAACGGGACCCAAACAGCCCCGTTGCCAGAGTAACGCGGAATGGCAAGTAGGCTTACCAAACGCCGGCGGGGGAAATCTATTTCCTGGCAGGATGCGTGCCGCGGGGGACGGCTGTGCGCGCTGCACCCGCCGTCGCCAGGATGTGACGCTCCGCGTTACCCTGGCAACGGGACCCAAACAGCCCCGTTGCCAGAGTAAC